CTATATAAATACAAGGTATTACTCTTGCCTTGAAATAATATAGTAGACAGAAATGGTATTTGAAACATAATTTTATAGCACATCATCAACAACAAAGTTAATACAATTTTTACAAGGAATATCATCATGGACTTAAAACAATTGTTAATGATTTAACCAAAGCTTTTCTGTACAATAGTTAACACAGGTTAAGTTACTGAAATTTCAAGACTAATATATCGTAAGACTGTTCCACAGTTATTGACTCTTGTTTCTTCATGTATAAGATTCATGAAGAATCCTGAAGTTATATGATCCTGTGATTTCATGTTTATAATATAGAGAAACAGACTTACATCTAAACATAATTAAATCTGTTTATATAGCTGTTAGCAGTGGCTAAACTGGAAGCCATAAAGCTTTAAGGGTTAAAGTAATAGAGAAGCCTAGATCTACCCTTTATGGCTTAATCTCTTTTTAGACTACAGTTTACTTTTACAATTATTTTGTAATATATTAACAGGGTTAGTTACATTCCAGTTTCCCTGGGACAGTCTAGACTTATGCTTATTGTATTATTAGAATTTTAGTTTTGAAAAATAGTTTTTGAATAGAATGTTTTTATAGATATGGCAAACTTCGTTACTCAATACACATTTCAAAAATTATATAACTTTAAAATTATTTTTGATGCCCCCTTTCCCTCTCAAGTATCTGTATTTGGATGATAAACAGATGATTACCCATATAATAAGAAGTTGGAGCAGAGATCAGCAAAATTAAGGACTACTACAAGGAGCAGAAGTGAAAGTAGAATTTAGAATGATAAAACATCAGAGTACCTTGTCTATGGGTAAATAGGCTTGATTTCTAGAAAGGTAATAAAAATCAAATGAAATCTGCTTGCTCAGTAGGAGTGAGATTCAAGAGAAAACATTTGCTGGAGAACAAGGACTCCAAATTTTGAGTACATAAAATGATCTTTCAGAGAAGCTCAGAATTACATTGGGACTTGGTAAGTCTCTAAGAATCTGGTTATTTCTGAGAAAAGATGAAGTTATGTTATTAACACATAGCCCTATTCAGACAGATTGTAATTACAAGTTCTGTCTTACTATAATGGCACAAACTATTAACAATAGAGAAAAGGGCCAGGTGCAGTGGCTCAAGGCTATAATATAATTCTAGCACTCGGGGAGACTGCAGTGGGTGGATTGCATGAACTTAGGAGTTCGAGACCAGCCTGATCAAGAGCAAGACCTCCTCTCTACTAAAAATAGAAGAATCTAGTTGGCTGTTGTGGCGGGTGTCTGTTGTGCAAGAGAATCACTTAAGCCCAAGAGTTTGAGGTTGCTGTGAGCTATGATGATGCCATGGCACTCTACCCAGGGTGACAGCATGAGACTCTGTTTCAAAGAAAAAAAAAAGGAAAGAGAAAATAAAAACAGAAAAACAATAGAGAAAAAACTGCATGACCTGAGAATAAATCATGTTAGTAAAATCTATATCGTTGGTTACCTTTACCCTAATGTGTGAAGTTGTTTGCCTTGAGGGATGTTTGATAAAGAAAGATCAACTGGATGATTTATATATAAAGAAATGACTTTTGGGATGAATTTTGGATATTTCTCCAAAGAATTCATCATTTAGAAGAAAACAAGGGAAGTAGAATTCTCTGTAAGGGGAATGCAAACTTTAAACAAAGATGACAGTCTGAAAGTAATTTTCAAGAAACAAATGAATGAGTTGAGTGTATAGTGTTAGGTTTATATTACAAATCAAAGTTTGAATCTTTAAAATAAATTTTTAATGAAAAAAAAATCTTGTACTAAAAAAACCCTCACATCATCCTTTCCTCAGTTTTCCTGCCTTTTTTTCATATCATGGCATACCCAGAAAATGGTAGTTTTCACATAGTACCCTGGAGCTAATAAGCCTGTGTTTACTGGAGGTGATATAAAAAGATTTCTTAAATTCCCCATTGCTACTAATATGATTACTAAGGTAACAAAGTCATTTATTTCTTGAGGAATGGGGAGAACATAAATAAATGCTTATAATAAAAATAAATAAATAATATTGTGGCTTACAGACCACAATACAGACAAATACATCTCCAGTTCTGTAGAAAAGTATCAGTAAACAAAATTACAAAATTAAGTATGTTTAATTGTATTTCTTTTATCTTAGAGCTTTATTTGAAAATAAAAGCAGAGATGACAGTGCATAAATAATACCTACATAATAATATCCTTAAGCCCTATCATTTTCAGTCAAGAAGACTAGCTGAATTGGATAGGTTAAGATAAGACTCACGATCTATAGAAATTTGGAAAATTATGTTCAAAACAGAAAACAGGTCCTTTAGAATGCTAGTTTCCAGAAGAGGGAAAAGCCAGAATGAAGGGAGGTCTTTCTCATTGTCAGCACACTCAGGTTTTTTTTTTTTTTTTTTTTTTTTTTAAATCTAAACAAGGATATGGTAAAGTTGGAAAAGGGATATCCATGTGGGTAGACAGAAAATTCTTCCCTGATTAAAAGAGGACAACTTGTAAGCTTAGGGAGTTCATGGGACAGGAAGAATACAGTTTGCTTTCCAGTTTGGAATTTTCCAAGGTGAAAACTGTTATGTACTAAAATCAATCAGAGACAGGGACCTAGAGAGAATGCCACAAAATTTGTCAGTGGTAAGTAATGGGAGAAAATAAGTGCTGAGAAGTTTGGGGCAGTTAAAGACTGTACCTCAGGAAAGAAACCTGACTTTCATTAGAAAATAAAGTAACAATACAATAAACTACCAGCTCCTAAAACTTTTCCCAAGAAAGAAAAACTCTTACAGATGTGTTTTATCTTTATTACCTCATGAAGGAAAAAAAACGGAGAAGAAACAAGTAAAAATCTGGTCAAAGGACTTTCTTATTAGACATTCTTCCTTCAGGCTCAAGGACAAACCAGAATCTTAAAGGTATATTCTCCACAGAAGTGAGAGGATCGAGGATCCCCCAGATTTTTTCTGGTAAGAAACAACCAATTTTTGTTCATTTCCTGAAGTGAGAAGACAGCAAAGAAGGAAAGGAAGGGCTTTCGTATAGAGAGGCTGCTTCTCATACTGTTTTCCAAAGGGAAGAAATATACCAAACAGATGTATACGACCTTCAAAGAAATACGAAATGATAATACTGTGTGGGTACATTTCTTGACAGAAATGCAAAAGTGAGGTTAACATACCAACTTCATTGAGAAACTTATCACCAGAATATTACTAAATAATGAACTCCTGGCTTCTATTAACTACAAAGTACATTACCAAATCAGGAAAACTGACGAATGAATAGATGGGAAATTTATGGGTTACGTGTTTTAAAAATAAGTCAGATGTCAATACAGTATCTTTCCCTACCTTAAATAAAATGCCTGATGTGGCCTGTTACTGTGTGTTTATACTTAACTATAATCAGGCTTGGCATACATTAATTTATACTATTTTAAGCAGCATACCTATAAAGAATGAAAAAACTAGAAATCCTTAATCTATTGGTTCACTAGTTTGAAATTTTTGCCTGTTATTTTATATTTGTGGATCCTACCATCAAGATAATCATGAAACTAGTATACAGAAAACTAAAACTGAAGGATTATGTCACAAGGAAAGAAGAAATAAAAAAAGGACAATATGAAATAAAGTAAGTCTCTTAAATAGTACTTGATTTTTGAGAGGAACTAGAAGAATACAAAAAGTATTAGCAAATTTATGCAATACATAAAAACAAAAGACAGAAACATAGCAGGTTCAACAAACGGCAGCCACTCTAGCTGCTAATCAGACAGTGGTATTCAGCACAGAAAGGACAAAACCAGCTGCCGTATTTTTAGGAATTTATGCATAGGGATGTAAACACTGAATATAATAGAAAGAATACCAATTATGAATATTATTTATATAATCTTTTGGGTAAAATTTTGCCCTTTTCCCCTTTTAATTCTATAGATATTTCAGATTAAGTTTTAGTCAAAGTAATAGATGTATGTTACAGCTCTTCTGGAATTGGTTTAGCACATTTTATGGTCCTTACCAGAAGACACTAAAAAAAGGTGTCTAGGTCTAGGGGCCAGTAATTTACTATGTAGTAACAATAAAGCATGATGAAGCATGATATTGAAGTTCAAGTGTATACCCTCTTAAAGTACTTTCTGGTCCTTTAATTCCATATTTTAATACTACTCAAGCACAATTTTTGGGAAGGATACAATGAATTTGTGTGTGTGACTACCATTCACTATTTTCTACTTAAGTATAGCATAAATCCATTCCTACAAATGGAAATTATCATATATGTTTGTTTGAAAATATTATACGGCTCTTGTTGGTAGAAATGTATAAGGCAATCTTTTATAACCTAAATCATACCTCTTTCCAAGCAATCCTGAAATCTAACAGTGGAAGTTTTAATTTTCCAAGATCCTCTATCTTTTGACTTGTTACCATCTTTTTATCTCTGATCATATTAGGGATTTTGGAAAACAGGTCGCAAAGTTACTACCTTATGATTAGGTACAATACCTGTATTAACCATTTTACTCTAACAAAGTGAATTTCAGATAATTTCATTAGACTGGCCTTTCAAAATGGTCCTAAGTAAGAAAAACCTTACTTTTGAAAGTTATCTATTGGAACTATAACTACAAAACAGAAAAAAAAATGGGGTTCAGTTAGTATGAATAAGGAAAATTTCCATCCTCTCAATCTGTATCTGTTTTTAAAAGTAACATGTTTGAGCTCTTGGAGTAGGCCATGAAGAATGTTAGATGGTATCTTTCTTCCATATATTCAGACTGTCAGTATATTCCAAAGTTTCTATTAGATTCTCAAAAATGAATTCCAAGAAAGTATGTATGCATGAATAATTATGTGTGTGTGTATATAAGTAATGTGTGCATGTGTGAATGTTATTATTTATATATGTGTATGCATGTAATCTCCATAGCTGTGGAAGAAACACACTTGGGTATCAATTATTATCAAAATTCCTTATCCAATAATACATCGTTAATTTTTATTAACAGTCCAGGATCTGTTTAGCATCTTGTTTAACATTTTGAAAACCAAACCATTAACTCTTCAGTTCTCAAGGATAGTGCTATTAAAAGAAGATTTCTAACATCAGTTGGTTAATAATTTTTTAGTTACAGAACAAAAAAATTTTGAAATTTCATTGTGGGACTTGGTCTATTTACATTTCTAAAACTGAGAATAATTAACATATATGAAATCCTTGTATGCTAGTATAAACTCCTAGGGTCCTCTTGTTCTCATGAAACCATTTGGCAAATTTATTCATTATGGTTTCAAGAGAAAACATCCTATTTGAATCGCCAGGAAAAACTTTGGGATCTATATCTTTTTACTTTTACTGCTGCACAGCATAGAATACATTTAGAGTTGGAATAGGAAAAGGAAAGGATAGGTTTATTGTGGTAATGCCAATTTTTATGGCTTCTCCTCCTGTTTGAAAATTAGGAAGTCAGTGAAAGAACTGCAAATGAGTGTAAAGAGGAATAGTTCTTGTACTACAGAAATTTGAGAGCTTAAAAACCTTTATGATTTGTTCTGTATCTTTTAAACCAGTGTCCCCTCCACCATTTCCAAATTTTATAATAAAAATTGGTTTTAGAATCAGAATCTAAAGTTTTCTTTTGGTATAATAGTTTTGCATTTTATGAGAGCAATTTTCTTTTAAAAAATTAATCATACATATAATTGCTTATGTTGCTAGCATATAAGAAAAGGTTTAAAGATTAAAACATTCAAAGGACACTAATACAGTGGAATATCTGTCAGTGTCATGGGATCATGTCAAAGGTGAACGTTTCTTTTATAAAATCCCTTAGGTGGATTCATATTTTATAAAATTTGGTTACAAATGAATTATGTCATAGGAAGATTGCAGTATTATCTCAAACATTAGAGAAAAATGTAACACAAGTCAAATTAATCGCATACTGATCATATTGGTGGTATTTCTAGTATTTGTAAAATGGTATAAAAAAGGGAGTATAAATACTTTCAAATTCTGAAAACCATGGCAGAAACAAAATTAAATAAGGAATAGCAGTAAAAAATAAAAAATTATACAAAAGCATATTAAATGACAAAATAGCAAAGTAATACAATGAAATATTAAAATTAAATAATATACTATCTTCTAAAATGTATGAAAGGATTAAAAATTCTTTTAGAATTGGAAATGATCTTGTCCTAAATAAATAAATATCAAAGAATATGAGACATAACATCTAATAGTCTGAGGAGAAAAAAAATAACACAGCAGAGAAAATGAAAGACACCTCACTATTCCCAATGTGGTTATTATTTATAGAATGGATAAAACATGTAGAAAAGGTTACTACAGTTAGATAAAACACATAAAAATCCCAACATGTCATATCTACCTAAATAATTTTGTAGAACAGTTGAAAAAGCAAATTTCATCAAATTTAGACAGCTTATAGTGGAATAAATAAGTATGGTGAGGTATTAACTAACCCTAAGTTTCACAACGGGCAGCTTCTAGCCGGTTCGTTGAAGCTGGATCTCGGCCACACAAGGATCATTGGACAAGAAATCTGTTGAGTTGGACTAGAGCTGCCCAAGTGTCTTAATAATGAATGCTCCACACTGTCTGTTAAGTAAAGAGAAAATACAGATCAGGAAGACCGAATAAAAAAAGGAGTAAATTAGAATAGATGAGTGTAGACTATCAACATTTACTAAATACTTGCAGAACATGTGGTCCTAATTACATTAGAAATGTTAGGAAGAGAGAGGTTAGAAATTAGGGGTCCGGAACTCAGAAATTAGGAGGGGTTCTGCTCCCTAAGTGCTGTCCAAAAGAATTTTCTTTCTTTCTTTTTTTTTTTTTTGAGAGAGTCTCACTATATCACCCTTGGTAGAGTACCGTGGTGTCACAGCTCATAGCAGCCTGAAACTCTGGGCTCAAGTGAGTCTCTTGCCTCAGCCTCCCAGGTAACTGAGACTACAAGTGCCCACCACAATGCCTGTTTTTTTGTTATAGTTGTCATTGGGTTTTTTTTTTTTTTTGCAGTTTTTGGCCGGGGCTGGGTTTGAAACCACCACCTCTGGTATATGGGGCTGGTGCCCTACTCCTTTAAGCTACAGGCGCTGCTCACAGTTGTCATTGTTGTTTAGCAGGCCCAGGCCAGGTTTGAACCTGGCAGCCCTGGTGTATGTGGTCAGCGCCCTAACCACTGACCCATGGGCACTGAGCCCAAAAGAACTTTCTGTGGTGATAGAAATGTACTGTATCTATGTTGTCAAATATGGTGGCCATTAGTCACATGGGGCTATTTAATGTTTAAAATGTGGCTAGTTGTAATTGAGGAACTGAATTTTTAATCTCATTTAATTTCAATGGTTTAAAAATTGAAATTAAATAGTCTCATGTGGCTAGTGGGTACCATACTGGAGACAGCATGGCTCTAGGGATGCAAACTTGTTTTCTAAAACCAAATTCTGTAGACTAGCCTGAAGTTCCCTGATCTGTTTAATACTGTCCAGTACCACTATATATTGTTCATTCCTGTATTCTCAGTATCTAGAACATTAGCAAGCACAAGGTAGGTGCTCAGTTAGTATTTGTTGAATGAATAAAATCTATTATGATTATCATATACATATAGCTATTCATGTCTAGTCAACTACTCAGCTTATTGGCTATAACTCAATATACTCTGTTCTTCTCAGGAGAAATACAAAAATGAAGTCAAACTTTTACATATGTGAAATTACTTGGTTAAAGATTTAATGTGCTAGAAAGAACAAGGAGGAATGCTAGTTTCATTATATTCATATATTAATTTAAATTGATAAATATGGGGAAACTAAATAGAATATTTAATGGTAAGGATGTGGATAAAAGTTGATGAGGATGATGAGAGAGAAAAAACTAATTTTAGATTTAAAGAAACTAAATTCAGATTTTATGCATGACTAAAAGCTGAAAACTGAAGGAGAAGAAGGCTTGAAGAAATAGATGGTAATCCCATTGGGCCATGAGCTTTGTAGAGGAATTTGGCAATGGAGAGGAAGTTAATACAGTTGACTCTTGAACAACAAAGAACACAGGTTTGGATTGCATGGGTCTACTTATACACAGATTTTTCTCAGTAAGTATATTGGAAAATTTTTAGGGATTTGAGACAATTTGAAAAAACTCGCAGATAAATTGTGTAACCTGGAAATATCAGAACAATTATAAGAAAAAGGTATGTCATGAATGCATAAAATATATGTAGATACTAGTATATTTTGTCATTTACTATCATACTATTTATATACAAATCTGTTACAAAAAGTTAAAATTTATCAAAACTTACAAACGTAGCTTGTATGTGGCACTATTCACAGTTGAAAAATGTAAACAAATGTAAAGATGCAACATTAAATCATAAATACATAAAATTAATGGTAGTACATACTGTAACACTGTAATAACTTCGCCACCTCTTGTTGCTAGGGTGGCAAGCTAAATTGTAAGTACCTGCTTAAAATGCAATAGGATGATGATTATCTCTGTGTGAGCAGTTTATCTCTTCAATAAATTGTGTAAATTCATCTTTCTACTTTATTGCATCACTGTAAAGTGATTTCTCTTGGTTTGCACATATTTTTTGTGTTTAGTGCAATACTGTAAACTTTGTATAATACCACGGGATCCATATGACATGCCAGTAGTGATGCTGGCAGTGCTCCTAAGAAGCAAAGTCATGATATTCCAAGAAGAAGTTGAATTGCTTGATGTGTACCATATATTGAGGTCTGCAGCTGTAGTTGCCTACCATTTTGAGGTAAATGAATACAGCATTAAGGACCACTGTAAGAAAATAAAAGGAAATTCATGAAGTCATGACTGCAGCTTATGTCAGCAGACATGAAGACCACGTACATTTTGCAAAATATCTTTATATCTTGACATCATGTAGCAGGAACCATAGACTCTAATATGATTCAAAAAAAGTCATTAAGTGACAAAGCAAAAGGAAAGTGAAGGACCTAAAGCTGGAGAATTTAATGCCAGCAAAGGACAGTTTGATGATGTTAGAAAGAGGTTTGGCTTAAAAAATGTCATGCTAACAGGAGAAGCACCTTCTGCTGACCAACAGGTAGCAGATGAATTCCCAGACACTGTTAAAATTATTGAAGATATTTGTCTGAATAGGGTTTTTGTTGTTTTTAAAGAGATGGGGTCTAGCCATATTGCCCTAGCTGACAAAGTGCAGTGGCTCTTCACAGGCATGATCAGGGTGTACTGCAGTCTCAAACTCCTACACTCTGTATAACAGTCTTCCTGCCTCAGCCTCCAAAGTAGGTTGATAGGCATGTGCCACTGTGCCTCACTGAACAGGTTTTAATGCAGACAAAAGTGCCCTGTTCTGTAAAATAATACCACATAAGACATACATATGTAAGGATGAGAAGCTAGCACCAGGATTTAAGGTAGGAATGGATAGGCTAATTCTACTGCTGTGAGTTTATGATGAGGAAAGGGAAAAGATAAACATGTGATGCCCTAATTCCGTTTTGCTAAGGACTTTGCTATGTGCTTTCAATACTCCCCCTTTAAGCTCAGCTGAGAGTTGCAGAGTTTAGTAAAAACTGCAATATCCTGTGAAGCCACAGCTCCCCCTTGTAAGCACTCCCCTTACTATATAGATCTAACTTTACACTTGCCTTGTGTTAAAGACTCCTCCACTTCTGAAAGCACCTAAAAGTTTGTGCCCTGCTTTTGGGGGTCGAGAGACATTGTGGCGTGAGCATGCTCTTGACCTCTGGCCAATAAAGGACCCCTGCTTAATTTGTCCTCAGTGTGCTGGCATTTTCTCTATTCTACTTGGATGGGGCATAACAAACACCATCTGACGGTCTTTTGGATGTATAGCAAGAAGATCTGGACGAGAACTCTTTTTGGATTGCTTCTATTGATGCTTTTTCCCTGAATTCAGGAAGTACTTTTCTAATAAAGGACTGCTTCCCCATCCCTTAAATGACATTTGATAAGAAAAAAAAATATGGACTACTTGTTAAAGCTCTTCTGATATTGGACAACACCCCTGGCTACCCAGGATCCCATGAGTTCAACACTGAAGTTACTGAAGTAGTCTACTTGCCCCCAAATACAGTGCCTCTAATTCAGCTTCTAGATCACAGGATCATAAGGACCTTTCAAGGTCATTACACATAGTACTCTATGGAAAGGACTGTCAATGCTATGGAAGAGAACCCCAATAGAACATCATGTAAGTCTGGAAGGATTACACCATTAAAGAGGGTATTGTAATAGAAAAAGCTGTGAAAGCCGTCAAGCCTAAAACAATAAATCCCTGCTAATGAAAACTGTGTCCAGATGTCGTGCATGACTTCACAGGGCTTACTTAGGACAAAGCCAATAAAAGAGACTGTGGACATAATAGAAAAGGTAGATCGTGAAAAGTTTCAAGATACAGATCTTGGAGAAATTAAACAGTTTACTAGGCACCACACCTCAGGAATTAACAGAAGACAACTTGATGGAGACAAATGCTTCTGAACCAGTGCCAAACAATGAGGAAGGATTGGATTTAACATGGGTTAAAAAAGATACTCTATGCTTCTCCTTGCCTTCCCATGACAGATACATTAAAAATATTATTAATGAAGTGTGGGATACAAAATCCTACTGCTCGCTTTTATCATACGTCCTCAAAGTATAGGAAGATGTTATTAAAAAAAAAGTTTAGGAAACTATTCTGTAATGGATTAAGGTTTGATGAGTTGAATTTTAAGTCATGAAAAGTAAGGGGGTCTGGATTCTAAGGGGGAAATAAAAAGGATTGTGAAAAAGGGGAAAAGAACGTTCAATTAGAAGTAACGGTAGACTCAGAATGTAAGGAAACTAAAAGCTCAAACATAATTCGATATGGAAATAAAATGTGCTATTCAATGAGACAGATTTTCTCTTATAAAAGAAGCATAAAATTTACTTAGTACTGTCTCAACTAATACCTATCCTTATGCAGTAACTAATATCAAATTACCTTTTACCCACATTTACTCCTCAACTGCAATATTTTGGCTAGTAAGAATTTATGGCAAATGTAAATATTAGAACAGTTCAGAAGCTCAGGGTCAAATAATCCATGTTAACCCAAATGAACAGATTTGAAATAATTAAAAGTAGAAATATAACCAAAGCATTTATACTGTATTTCATATTATACTTTAAGGGGATACACTAATCTGATAATAGATTAACTCAAGAGACATCAAACTATGGCCTGCAGGTTAAATCTGATCATCATCTGTTTTGTAAATAAAGGTTTAGGGGAACACAGCTTTCCTCACTGTTTCTGTTTTGTCTATGGCTGTTTTCATGCTACTATGACAGAGTTAAGTAGTACTGCTAAAAAACACGGAGCTTAAAATATTTATAATCACACTCTTTTGTTGATCCTAGTTTAACCTTTTCAGGCTTGAAAGAAATTTTCAGGCTAAGAACTTCTGAAATCCTATGAACGAAAACCTTTTTTTTTTTTTTTTTGAGACAGAGCCTCCAGCTGTTGCCCTGGGCAAAGTGCTGTGGCATCACAGCTCACAGCAACCTCCAGCTCCTGGGCTTAAGCGATT